TACGACCCCAGAGAGCAAGAAAAAATCAAAAGGAATAAAGAAACTATTTGGCAAGTGAGTAGAAAATGACATGAAGACCTCAACCAAGTAACTCACTACTAATCTTCTTATTACTAAGTCATAAAAAAATACTTTTTTAACAATTTAAATGCCGTCAGAATCATGGATGTAGAGGATATTCTTTCATATCAGCTAAAAATATAAAAAGTGAGCAGATAAGATAATCCTTTTTTAGTCCTACTGCTGCCTGACTATGGATTTAGTTTAATTTGTGTAAGTGTTTTTAATATCAAAACATATTTTTAAGGTTAAAAAGAAGTCAGTCGACCACATTTACCCTGGATGACAACTTACCAGAGGGTGAGTTCAAGCGGGGTGGTGTGCGAGCCACGGCGGGACCCAGACTGGGTTGGTCACGTGACCTCCAGCAAGTCAACAAGTGAGTCTGTGCATTCAGCCTGAATAATAAGACACGGAATGCAGTTTCTTTGTTTTCAATCTGGTGTACAATGAAATACAGTATAGAGCTAATACAGGGACGATGGACAAAGCACTCTGTCAGGATAACAAAACGTGTAATATCTCACAATTTAATCATTTTATGTTTTGACCCGAGTGTGGCTGCATACGTTGTGAAAGTTTATTGTTTTTCTATCCTCTGTTTTTCTCAGTGATGTTGATGCTCCCTTTGCACGCTGGTCAAAGGATCAGGTGTGTAACTGGCTGCAGGAGCAGGGTCTGGGTCTTTATGTGAACATGGCTCGTGTTTGGATCTCCTCTGGACAGACGCTGCTACAGGCTTCACAACACGACCTGGAGAGGGTGAGACCAGGCAGAAGAAATTAATACGTTTACCAAAGCTGGCAGGCAAAGTATTATTGTTGTTGGACTGTGCTGAAGCACCCTGGGATGCATCGTCCTCACTTGTCTACTTGTGGGTGTTCTAGGAGCTGGGCATCAAACATCCGCTGCACAGAAAGAAGCTGCAGCTGGCTCTGCAGGCCCTCGGCTCAGAGGAGGAGGACAATAAGGGAAAGCTGGACTACAACTGGGTGACGAGTGAGAAATCGCTGCTAGTCAAACATTTTCTACTGTTAAATAAGCCTGATGTATCACCACCCACTGGCCCGACATGCTTGTTTGAACAATTTTAGGTGTTTTTGTGTTCTTGTCTGGATTGGGATTTTTTTTTTTAAAGGGGGAAAACATCTTTTCTAAACATATCTGCAATAGTGTAGACTAAGGATTAGACTGTCTGGACTTCTATCTAATGAAACTCCTTCTCTCAGGGTGGCTTGATGACATTGGTCTGCCTCAGTATAAGACCCAGTTTGATGAGGGGAGAGTGGACGGCCGCATGCTGCACTACATGACTGTGGTAAGTGTTGGCAAGAGACATGCGCTTCCTCCACAGACCCTGCAGATAAGTGGGTCTGACAACTCCAGTGTCATTTCTCATTAGAGTCTGAGCTCCAGCGGAGACAGTCTCACCCTCTGTGATACTTGTGACCAAAATGAAGCCTCTGGCTCGGTTCAATCTATCATTTCTTATGTTATTTAATGACACTCAATGGATTTGTTAGCTCAACTGTAAGTGTTTAAATATGACTGTATCACTGACGTCTTACTTTGTTCCTCAGGATGACCTGCTTTCTCTGAAGGTGGGAAGTGTCCTGCATCACCTCAGCATCAAGAGAGCTATACAAGTGCTCCGACTCAACAACTATGAGCCCAACTGTTTGCGTCGTCGGCCATCTGATGAGGTTTTAGCAGCGTGCTGTAATAATAGCGACATTTAAATAAACTCTTAGTTTCGATGATTTCATCTTTTGTCTCCACTTCCTGTATGTAGAACAACATCTCTCCAGCAGAGATTTCACAGTGGACCAACCACAGGGTGATGGAGTGGCTGCGGTCTGTGGATCTTGCTGAATATGCTCCCAACCTGAGAGGCAGTGGTGTGCACGGTGGCCTGATGGTAAGAGAGTCAGTTGTTCTGTGTCCCTGAGATTACAGACTCCACAAATACCCCCACTCCTCACACATTGTCCTTCTCCTCAGGTTTTGGAGCCGCGGTACAACGTGGAGACCATGGCGCTGCTGCTGAACATCCCCCCAAACAAGACTCTGCTGCGTCGCCACCTCGCCACACATTTCAACCTGCTCATTGGCTCTGAGGCCCAACAGCTCAAACAGGAGTGTCTTGAAAACCCAGACTACACTCTGCTCACTGCCACCACCAAGGTCAAGGTAGCACATGTGATACTGAGGATACTGTTCGTCCCCCAGTCCTGCTTGTACCTGGACTACACAGAAAGTCTGGACTTGTTAGATATCAGTAAAACCTCAAAGAAAACTATCGACATTTGATGTCTTGATTAACTCATCATTTAATCACACACAATAAGAAAAAATCAGACATTATAATAAATTAAAAAAGTCGGTAACATAAAAATAGAACTACAGTAAATGCAGCTCAATAAGATGTGTGTTTGTCTTCTCTCTCTTTTTTCATACCAGCCGAAGAAGCTGTCGTTTGGTAGCTTTGGCAGTCTGAGGAAGAAGAAGCAGGAGGACAGCGAGGAGTATGTGTGTCCGATGGACGTGGAGATGCCAAAGGGAAGAAGCTTCCAGAAAGGCTACGAGCTCCAAATCTACGAGGACGACCTTGACAGGCTGGAACAGGTGAGTTAAATTATTTTAACATTTAACAATCGCTCACTAAAACACACATTTTTAATGATATTTCATGTTTCTTTCCTCTGTGTTTTCACCAGTGTTGCTTGGAAGTATCAATTATGTTTTTTTAAAGCTGCTTCTCTTTTTCTTAGATGGAGGACTCTGAGGGAACTGTGAGACAGATTGGAGCTTTCTCTGAGGAAATTCAAAACCTGACGGTGAGAATCTACATTTCTCATTGACACCATTATATTTTTAATATTTTGGCTGTGAAGTAGAATTTTTTTTTCTCTTGTATTTTACCAGAGCATGCTGAAAGATGATGAATTCTTCAAAGAGGTTTCGAATTCCCCGAACACCAGTGTAACAGACGAGGACTCCAACGCATGAGGCTGTCGACACCGTGAGACCTGGTCCTGCTGTGAATGAAACTCTGTGCCAACCCTCTCCAGCCACACAAAGGCCCAGCAATGCTCCCACATTTCATTTTAGTGTTACATTCAGAGATGAGCCAAAAGTATTAGTGAACTTCAATTTTTTAGTTTTTAGATTTTTGGATTTGTTAAACTTAGAGACCAGTCGCTACTATCACTCTTGAACTTTGTCTTCTTTACTGTCGTGTGATGATGGAGGGAACATGTAGGGCAACACCACTGCTTGCCTGCCAGCTGGTTTCTGGAGATATTTTGTACTCTGTTATGTGCTGGCATCTTTCTTTTTATGACAAACTAAAGTGTCAACCAGCAGAAAGATGACTTCTAGACTATGCACATATAGATTTAATATATGTCTTCTAAATTTCTGACTGTAGAAATTTTGGGGAAAAAGAGGTGAACTTAATAGAAGTAATATGCTGAGTAGATTTTCCCCGTTTTTAGACGTTAGCGTAAAGTAATGATTCTGAAACAGCTGCTATGTTTTCTACAGAACTAAAACCTACTAATTAATTAATTAATAATTGTCTTATAAAGTTTCTTCCTCTGGAAACAGGTTTTCACTCAACAGTAATACTCTGCATGCATTTGCACCGATACATATCACATTGTACAAATGAATATCATTGCATGGTATTGAAATCCATCACATTTATACACAAGTTTGTTTATTTTATTAGAACCACAAACTGATTTTAATGGAAACCTGTTGGCTCTCAGTTATTTTTGGAAAAAGTCATATTGTGACATGAGATAATGTCTCAATAATAATGTTGTAAAGGAACCCTCGGTCATACCTAAGAACAAAAATTGTGTGGGGTAATTTTTGTTTAGTTGTTTTGTACGTTTAGATCAAGACTGGGATCAATAAAGTTATTTAAATCAATTGGGATTTTCCTCATTGTCAAATCAAGTTGTGAATGAGCACAGTGGGAGACGGGGGAAAGTTTCTTTGTCCTACAAAACAAGGCCATTAAAGAATTAAGCAGCCCATATATGTCTGGATTCTTTCATACACACGCACACTATGTATAAGACATAATTAAAAGGTCTGATACTAGTATTTCAATCATTGCTCTGTTTAGATAGTGTTTGGAGAAATCTGCATAATACAACCTCTAGGTCCAGGGAGGAGGGAAGAATAATCAAGCAACACACAACAGAAAGCCTAGAGCTACTTACACTTAACTGATCATTTTATATCATCAGCCTTTATCTCAGAGTCACTTTTTTACAGTAACATAATGTATGACTCATCTCACCTAGAGAGGTTTCATCTAATCAACATGACGATAGACAAAACATCTCAAACGCATTGATTAGATAAAATATTTCCTGTCCACTATAAAACATTTGTGTTCCGTCATTAGATGGGCCAGTCTTTGTGAAGGTGGTTCTATATTAAGCCTGTTCAAGGGGCAAAAGTCTTCTCTTGTATTAACTCATACAGCATGTGAGCACAATTTAATAATATGAATAAAGCTCTGAACAATAAGATGATTTAGATCTGTGCTAAATTAAATACTAATTAAAGATGTGGACTTATATAAGAAACAGGCACAGAAACACACGACCATGCCAGAGATCAACAATAAATAAGTTATCCACATCCTGCAAACAAATGTCTTGGATGATATAGTGTATAGCGTGTAAACAATATAAAAATAAATAAATGTGTATTTATGTTCATGAATGAAAGTTGTGAGCACTGCCTTTTAGAATTTACAGACATGTCTGGCTGTCTGTCTGGATTCATTTGAGAAAAACTGTATCCTTATGACAAAGCGCCCTCTGGTGTCTGTTAACTTAAAGTGAGTGGACCTCAGCTTGTCCAGATTCGCTCATGCGCAGTGAATGGACATGGTCCAAGTGTTTGTTGGAGACAAACCCACAGAGAAACAAAGTGAGTTGTCTGAGACAGTCTGAGCTGAGGGAGAGGAAGCGTGCAACAGCTATCATGTCTACAATGTATGTATTTTCATTTTTGATCCTTATATTACTTTGAAAGTGAATCTATTCTCTGTGAACAAGTTCAATTTAGCTCAGATTTGCCAAAATCTAACTTTTACTATCTGTGTCTAACATGTGTCACATGTCTAAAGGTTTTGTGGAGTCCTGTTCCTTGCAGTGTTTCTCAGCGGTCTGAATGCATCAAGGTACAGTAAACTAAAAACAATGTCTCTTCAGTATCTGTGTGGATCCTGTTTTATTTGTCAGTTGTCTGTTCTGTATCTCTGTCTGTAACAGACCAGCTGTCAATCAGGAACTATCCAACCTTTTCAATGAGCTGTGGACGTTGGATGTGAATCGTTTGACGCCTGGAGTAGACTACACAATAGATGTTCAGGTACACTACACACTCTCACTCACACAACACTCACACTTCTGTTTTTCTAAGGGTGATGTTGTGTTCGAACTGTCCAGGGCAGAGCCAGTTTTGTGAGCCAGGGCAGCAATGTTGTTCAGGATCACGCCTCACAGCCCTTGTTCTCCAACGTCAATGAGATTAAATTGCAGAACGCCACCACCACCTCCAGTAAGTTCAAACAGAAGTGGTCTCACTCTCTGATGTTAAAAATGCAGCTCATTCGCAGACCTCACTGCAATAAATATGATTTCTGTGCCTGCAGGGTTCATGAAACTGTTGGATAACTACGAGCGGGCCACAGGCGTGACCGAACGAGTCACAACAGAGGAGCAGAGGGAGATTAATCTCTTCCTGGATGCCGTCTTGCAGACAGCAGTCATGAAGGTGCATTTGACAAGTTATAACTAGTTGCATCTAACAAGCAACAAACATTTTAAAAATTCACTCACTCTTCTCTACTCCTCATTTGTTTTCCATGTCTCTCAAACTAAGAAGATAATGTACAATACCATAAACAGTTGTTTTGTTTCCCACCAACTGTTCCTAGTTTTTTGTTTTCCCACATTTTTTGGGAGCTGAACTACAGTGAGAGTTGTCACTGAACACATGTTAGAGAGAGAAGAACATCTAAAACATCTGGCTGCAGCTGTGGAATGCTGCGTTGGCCTCAACACTCTCCCCAAAGAGGCTTCCAGGAAAAATATGGACATGTAGTACTTTGAAAGAAAGGCTTTAGATTAGATGGAGCAGATGCCTGTTGTTTGCATGAGGACAAAAGCTGTTGTACTCTTTCTCCACAGGACAGGTTTAGGTTTCTCTCAGTCAAGCTTATTGATATATCAACATAGAGGCACCTCACAATGCAAATACACAGTGTGTGGGAATAAGGAAATGTTTCTTTTAGTTTCACATTTGTTACCATCTATATTTTCTTAATGAGTTTAAGTCTATTCCTCATGCATGGAGTAACTTTTTCAACAAAGGTGAATGCATCCTTAAAACCTGTTTGTCATAAGTTTATAACAGTGAGATTCTTTTAATCCAAAAAACATACACCTTTTACCTGCCATTAAAAGATGTATAGTTAAAATGACTGTTGTAAATTCAAAATTTCAAACCAAACCTTTTTCTCTCTTTTTGCGTGATCGGTTCTTCCTTCTGTGAAAGTTCCTGAGTTTTGTTGCCACTGACGTGATGTGATTTCTCCACAGCGAGCTCATCAGTACCTGGTGAGTAAAGGAAAGTCCAACTCTGACTCGAGGCTGTTTAAGAATCAACTGAAATTGATCTGGTTCAACCTTTACCACAGACAGAGGAACACAGGGTGAGATACTGAAACAGCCCGTTACAGACTGTCTATTCATTTTTATTCATCATTAAATTAGTGTGTGAGGAAAAGTAATAATCATTTAATTCATATTTTATTTTGTGTGGTTTATTAAAACTTAAACCTGCATCAGCCTGGACTCCAGTGGATTCGAGCATGTGTTTGTTGGAGAAACTAAATCTGGAACAGAAATCGTTGGGTTCCACAACTGGATCCAGTTCTACCTGCAAGAAAAAAACAGCCACTTGGACTACAAAGGATACAAAGCCAGGCATAATGACTTAGTAAGTACAACAGTTCATCCAGCAAAATGTTTTACCTGACAACACAATCTGTTGTTTTTAAAATGTTTCTGTCCACAGCCCGATCAAGACGACCACGTTCTCAACCTCCAGTTCAGCTGGCACAGTATAGTGAAGCCTGTGGGCAGTGCCTTCATCGGGACAAGCCCTGAGTTTGAGATGGCCCTCTTCACCGTCATCTTCCTCATGAACACAGAGAGGAGCACCACGGTGCTGGTCAACATCGACCAGTGTCAGATGGAGCTGGTGGTCATCAGACACGGACGCTCCCTCGGCACAGCGTATCCCAAACTGCTCAGCAGCAACAGCAGACATGTTCAGCAGCACTCACACTGAATGAACGTCTGATGCAAAGTGTTGCAGCTCATACCTATAGCACAAACCTGCTCAGTGTAGTGCAGGACATAGATGTGTACATAAAGTTTACACTAAAACATATAGCTTCAATAAAAACAGCAGATGCATATTAAAATCAAGAATTTGGTGTTTTTATGCAGCATCATCAGCAAATTTAACATCCTGCATTTGATGGTGTCCAGCATTTAAAGTCTATAAAGGGCTCATTCAACTATTTGTTTGAGATAATTATACACTAATAAAACATAATCATGAAAATTTGACTTTTTATCCTACACACTGCTACTTTGTGTCATCAGTCAAACCTTGACAAAATAGTTTACCTACATAAAACTGCATTACCAGTGTGGAAGTTTTTGTGATTGTTGCACGTAGCTAGCAGTAATCAAAATTATATTAGTATTGTAGAGTGTCACAATATTGTTGTGTTAACATGTGTGCAGTATGTCAATGCTGTGAGTGGACTGTGTGCACTAATAAAACATAATAATAAAATCAATTGTTCTTCAGTTATTTTCTTTGACTCCTGAAATAATTCATATCTCAAAACCTGGACAATTCAAACCATGTGCATGGTGATAAACCAGTAGAGGGAGATATCCTTGTATCTTTGCATTATGGGTGAAGTGATTCTTCCAAATCTGTAATTTTCAACTATTTTATTATTTATCACTTTTGATTTAAATCTGTAGTAAAACTAAACTACCAGTGTTTTAAAATCACTGAACCTGACTACAGGTGTATTTACCCCCTCTGTTGGTGATGCATTAACACTGATGTGTATTCACATACACTTTGTGACAATAAATAAACTCCAGTGTTTTATCGTTATTTCCTCAGCTCCGGAGATTTAGCAAAAAGCGGAACACTTTCTTCGGTTCCGCCTGCACGGACGTTTTACAACGTAGCACACTACAGGGGACGCATGCTGCAGCGACTTCCGGCAGCGTCCATCAACACTGTGTGTGTGTGTGAGCGGAGTTTCTGTGTTTGTCTTCTGAACAGGAGAAACGAACATGGAGGTGTTAGGAGGAGACTTCTGTGAGATGACTCCTCAGGAGCTGGCGGCTCCTGTCAACACTGTGGCGGTGAGTTTACACCAAATCCAGACTCACAACGTGAAACACCGACAAGCTAACGTGCTGGAAACACAACATGGATACACACTCAGTGTGTGTGTGTGTGTGTGTGTGTGTGTGTGTGTGTGTGTGTGTGTGTGTGAAATAAACTTCAACTGTTTGACAACAACTGACTTATTGTGTTTTTCTTTTGACAGGAAAAATGGAAACTATTACCAGCCTTCCTGAAGGTAACACACACACACACACACACACACAATTTCTATTATTATTATTATTATTAGTAGTAGTAGTAGAAGTAGCAGTAATAGAAGTAGCAGTAGTAGAAGTAGTATTAGTAGTAGTAGAAGTAGTAATAGTAGTAGTAGTAGTAATAGTAGTAGAAGTAGTTGAAGTAGCAGTAGTAGAAGTAGAAGTAGTAGAAGTAGAAGTAGTAGTAGTAGAAGTAGTAGTAGTAGTAGTAGTATAAGTAGTAGTAGTAGCAGTAGTAGTAGCAGTAGTAGAAGTAGAAGTAGTAGTAGTAGAAGTAGAAGTAGTAGTAGTAGAAGTAGAAGTAGTAGTAGTAGTAGAAGTAGTAGTAGAAGTAGCAGTAGTAGTAGTAGAAGTAGAAGTAGTAGTAGTAAGTTTAAAGACAGATTTTTGCTCCTAAGGGAAGGTTGTGGTTTTAAACTCTTGATGCAGATCATTTGTGTGTTATTCCTCCTCACTGCACTTACACATGCACAAGTAATATAAAGATATATATATATATATATATATATTGAACCTTTGTTATATTTCTATTGATGACAACTAATTGCGATAGTCCAAGTCTAAAATCAAACAGAATAATATAACGAAATTAATGTTTAATTAATGGAGGAAGCTCGTCGAGTTAATGTTAAAATCCTGATATTGTCATAAAACATTCCTGCTCAGTCATTTGAGCTTTAGTTACAAAGGCCTCACACATATTAATACTAAACAGATAGTCAATAGAGCTTAACATGGTGTAATCAAGTCTGTCATTTCTGGAAATTAACTCAAGTTGAATGTGTTTTATTTCCATTGTTTTATCTTTATTTATAAGGGAGTTACATACTGTTGTACATTGAAAACTGTGTGTAACTGTTTTCCAGGTGAAAGGTCTGGTGAAGCAGCATATTGACTCATTCAACTATTTCATCAATGTGGAGGTAAAACGTGTGTGTGTGTGTGTGTGTGTGTGTGTGTGTGTGTGTGTGTGTGTCGGTGTGTGTGTCGGTGTCGGTCACATGTCTTGATTTCAGTTCTTCATGAGCGTCTTTTTTGCAGATCAAGAAAATAATGAAAGCAAATGAGAAAATCACAAGTGATGCTGATCCGATGTGGTACCTCAAGTAAGACACGTGAAACTTCTTTGTCTGATTTAACATTTAACTCACTGTTTCTCATTGAACACAGTCAACCTGCAGACATACACATGTCCACTTTTAGCTTAATTATCAAAAGTGAAAATATAAATGTTTTTCTTCTAGATACCTGAATATCTATGTCGGGATGCCTGATGTAGAGGAAAGCTTCAACGTAACTCGACCAGTATCACCTCATGAGGTCAGTTTACTATAAACGTTTTCATGTTCATTATATAGACTTAATGATTGATTACTCAAAAATGTTAAATTATTATTAGTCATATCCCCAAAACGTTTGTTTGATCGTCATTTTTGTTACTCCTGAGAGTCTCCACTGTGAAAACATTGAAATTACTCTTGTTATTGTCAATTGTCAGAACATGTGACTCTGTTGAGATGCAGCTCATCGTCCTGTTTGTTCCCACAGTGTCGTCTCAGGGACATGACGTACTCAGCTCCCATCACAGTGGACATAGAGTACACTCGTGGCAGTCAGAGAATCATCCGCAATGCCCTGCCCATTGGAAGGTAGCATAGCGTTTGTTTGTTTGTTGTCTTTGTTTTGTTCCACGGTGTCGTATCCTGCCACAGCAACTTTTCCTCTGTCCTCTACAGTTAAAACCTCTCTGGAAAAAATCATGTTTACACTCAGTGATTTCTTTTCCTCATAATTGAAGCTTTCCCCACAAGCTTTTCTTGATAGAAAACTGCGTGTGTTTTTCTCAGAATGCCGATCATGCTGCGAAGCTCAAACTGTGTTCTCACAGGAAAGACGCCCATGGAGTTTTCAAAACTCAACGAATGTCCTCTGGATCCAGGTACACAATCATTATACAAACTAAAAAAAAACATCCAGCTCACCGAAGCATAAAGAAAGAATAACAAAGAAAAACAACAACAGCAGAAGTTCTTTGCGAGTGTTCAATCACTGTATTCACTGTATTTCTTCACAGGAGGTTATTTCATTGTAAAAGGTCAAGAGAAGGTAATTTTGATTCAGGAGCAGCTGTCGAAGAATCGAATCATTGTGGAGCAGGACAGGAAGGGAGCAGTGGGAGCTTCAGTCACCAGGTACTGTGATTACACATCCTCTAACACTGACATTTATCAAAGAGTGTGTACAGCCACTAATGAAACACAGAAAACTACAAACAAACTCTAAAACTGTTGAAAAAAGAAAGTCAGAACTGCATTTTTAATACTTTGTGTTCCAAAAGTTCATTCATGTTTTTGGTTAAAATTAAAGAATTGTC